CACACACACACACACACACACACACACACACACACACACTCCATTCTCTCAAACACAAACCATACATGGCAAAAATATGACAGCTTTTATATCAAAGCAATGCATGTTAAAAAATAAAACATTTGCATATTAAATATGATGAAACAATAACTCTCTAAACATTGTGTTTTTTATGGTTTAGAAATATGAAGCATTTCCAAAAAGTGCCACCAGGGCCGTACTCTGATGTCATGACAACTCAAAAAACAAATAAAATGAAAGAAGAAGAAAAAAACCAACTAAAAGAATATAACAAACATCAGCTACTGAGCTGTTGTTATTTCTAAATGCGCTGCAGTTATAGTGTACGACTTGAGTCTGTGCAGTGTACGATATATTATTCTTTCATATGATAACTCTCCTCCCTGTAGTTCCTAGTTATTATTTTAAGTTTGTAAACAGTCATATGCAGTAATATAGATTCAAAAACCTAAACAAATGTACAAAAAAGTATCAATATAGAGGAACGAAATGAAAAAGTCTAATAAAAAAAGTACCTTGAGGAAAATTCCACACTTGGCTTTTCCGTGCGTGTGTATATCTCGCTGTATGTGCGTGTTAGTGTTTGTACGATGTCACCGTTGTGTCCTGATATGTCTCACGGCTGTTTTTGTGCTTAACTCTGTCCACTACTCTGTGTTTGGATGGTTTGGTGAGTGTTGAAAAGAGAGAGTGTGTGAATATGTATGTATCTGTGTGTGTTTGGGGTCAGGTGTGCTGAGGCAGCTCTGTGAGGAACCAACAGAAAGCAGAGACAGGTGGTGTGACAGCGAGATCTGGGTTCAGCTGAAGGCCTCATCATCCGTATCCTCAATGAGCACCTTAGTATCTTTCTTAGACCTGTCAGAAAAACACACATGTATATTAATAATATGCCACTAACCGACCTCAGATGTTTGGAGTCAGTAAGATTTTGGTTTTGCAAAAATGTCATATCAAATAAATATTGTTCTTTTGAACTTTCAGGGAAAAAAGGGTTAATGGTCATGGTTTCCACGAAAATATTAAGCAGCACAACTGTTTTAAACATTGATAAAAAGAAGAAATGTTTCTTCAGCACAAATCAGCATATTAGAATTATATAGTAGCTATTATATAGTAGATTTATAGAGAATTTTTTTGTTTGTTTTTTGGTGTGTGTGTGTGTAACCTAATGAATTGAAATAGGTTTGGTGATGTTAAATATTATTTTTAACTTGAATAAAATCAGTTAGTTTTATATAATTTTTTATTTATTTATATGCCTTTATTGTGAGAGGACAGTAGAGAGCTGACAGGAAAGCA